TATCTCAAAGTCTCCTCCTTTGCCTTCTTGTTATTATTCATAAATTTCTTGACTATTTCTAGAGAGAAATTTTTCCACATACATTCTAGAATCACTTTGTATTGTTTAACAGAAAAGCTTATAAAGATTATAATCTGAGTTGCATAACATTTCTATATTAATTTTAGAAGCAGTGACATTTCTATAATTGGTCTTATTAAGATTATTTTATGAACTTCATTTGGGTTTTATAAATTAACTTTTATATAAATTTTATGCTACTACTGCTATATTTAAGTCTAAGAATTTTCACATTTAGTCCCGATTATAAATAAATCTTTCTTTTTTTCCTTTGCTTCAAACCTTGCTATTGCTAGGACAGAGAAAAAGTTACTGATTTTCTTAAGGTATACAAAGTTAATTTTAAGGTTTCTTCAAGAGCTACTGGAAAGAGACAGACACATTCTTTATTCCTGGAACAGAGATTTTGGCAGACATCTGGTCATGAGGAGTCTGAGAATCACTCAATATGAAGGAAAGTAGAATCTAACGATCGAGACATGGCAAGTCCCAGAGCTATTATTTGAACTACTAGAATAAGCCATATTTGAAACCATTACCAGTTATCCTTTGCAATTATTTTGAGCCAGCAAATGTTCCCTATGTTTATTTAATTTAAGCAGGTTTAGGCTGGGCACAGTCTCTCATGTCTGTAATCCTGCACTTTGGGAGGTCGAGGTGGGCAGATCACTTGAGGTGAGGTGTTCGAGACCAGCCTGGCCAACATAGTGAAACCCCATCTCTGCTAAAAAAAAAAAAATACAAAATTAACTGGGCATGGTAGTGTGTGCCTGTAATCCCAGCTATTGAGAGGCTGAGGCAGGAGAATCACTTGAACCCCAGGAGGCAGAGACTGCAGTGAGCCAAGATTGTGCCATTGCACTTCAGCATCGGCAACAAGAGCGAAACTCAATTTAAAAAAAAAAAAAAACACCAAAAAACAGGTCTTATTCTTCATTGTTTATCAAATAAGATGGTACAGAAGTTTGAATTTGGCTTCCTGAGATAATTCTTATGCTGGTAATCTTCAGACAAAATACCAGAACCAATACACTCTATTACCATCATAAGAATAAAATGAAAAATAATTTAATGGTATAGAGTTCACCATAGAGAGTTGCTTAAATGTTATCAGAGATGTATAGGATAAAGCTTAGATTGCTTCATTAAAGAGCTGAATTTTAATAGTTATTGATACAATAAAAAGTATAGAAGGCTCTAAATGCAAAACTATAAAAATGAAATAAAGTAATTGTGTAAAAGGAAGATGAAGAACATTTATTCTATTGCTTGCATAATATAAATTTGATATATTTATATTTCTCTTCCAAGGGAGAATTTAGAAATTCACTAGGCAATCCTAACTTTATTCAAGGCAATTTTATGAATTAAGCAAGACACTAATTACACTATCAATAGCATAACTGTGCTGTTTTACTCAGAGAAAATATAACTTGAACCTACAGTGAGGTAAAGTTCTTTCTATATACATCTTTGTTTATCCTGTGGATTTGTTTCCTCGTTATTGGCTTCTTAAGAAATCATTGCTCAACTCTGATTTTGTTTGTGTTTCAGCTTTAAAGTCACGTTGAGACCAATGAACATCTTTCAAACATGTAATTGGATTTGTGATTATACATAGGGAATTTCTTTTCTTTCTGTTGAAAAATGGTTGGGACTCAAATAAAAGTAGGACTGACCATGTATCACTCAGGGTGCCAAAACATAATTTCTGTATCATTGGTCAATTCATTTATTCATCATTTCACTTCACACACTTATGGAGTGACTATAATGCAGACATGTTTACATACACAGCAGAAAAAATCACTGGAAAAAAACAGACAAAAGTTCTTACTCTCATAGAAATTAGATTCTGAGAAGAAAAGATATCAAATAAACCTTAAATATAAATACACTACAGATATGTAAATTATGTAAAGTGGCAGTAAGTGCTATGATGTAATATGAAGTACAGTATGGGGGATAGAGAATAATAGTGGAGAGAGGGAAGGATGCCCTTTCAGATGACAGTCAGGAAAATCTCCTCTGATAAGGTGGCATTTATTCACAGAGTTGTAGTGAAGGAGAAATCAAAATGGATTATCTAAGGGAAACACCTTCCAGGCAAGTAAGAACCCTGAGACAAGAATATTCTAAGTATATTTAAGAAATAGCATGAGGTCTGAAGGGTGGGATATGATATTTGTTTTAAAAGATTGCTCTGTTTGCATATGACAATAGGCCGTAGAAAGGCAAGTATAAAAGGATATTACACACTTGCAAGATGTTTACTGAGAAATGACATTCAGTTTAGTTTGGTGTCATGGATCAGGGTTTAGAAAAGAGAATGAACCTGGAGGGACAAACTAGAGATATTTAAAATGACTCTGCAGACTTGGCTTGAGTAACTAGAACTGCATGAAGATTAGGGTTGTGTGTGTGGGCATGGGTGTTTGCATGTGTGTGAGTGTGTGCCAAAAAGGGGTAGACTGAAATAAATCAAAGTCCAGTTTCAGATAACAGAAATTTAAGATGGCAACTCAACAGTAGATGTTAGCAAAAAAGTGTGTAAGTCAGGAGTATCCAGGAGATATTGGGACTAAAGATAAAATCTGAGGAATTTTAAGCTTATAGTTGGTATTTAAATACTTGGAATTGGATGAAGTCACCTACACAATGAGTATAAATGGAGAAGAGTTTATGAAACTAAAGAGAAATCAACAAAGGGGACAGCAAATAATTTTTTTTTCAAAAAGAAAGGGAGTCATTAGTTATGTCGAAAGCTGTTAATAGCTGAGGCAAGATGATTATGGAGAAATGACATTGAATTTTTCAGTGTAGAGGTCATTAATGACCTTGACAAGATTCATGTATGAAAGAAATTTTGTGTTTCAGTGGACAACTATATATGGTCTGACAACTCTTTTGGGGTATCATATTCTACACCTGCTCATTGTCTTTGAGCTGTTTTGCAAATCTTCGTTAAGTGGGAGATAACTGATAAAATCTGATGTTGACTTCCTGTGATGTTAATTGACTTCCTGTGTCCAGTTTGGTAGTGAGGTAAATGAATGTGGAAAAATCAGTTTTGTCTGCATTTGCAATTGATTTTAACATTCTTGTGCTCCAGATAAGTTAGTGCTGTTTAACTTTTCCTTTGAATCAGTTAGAACATCTCCCTGGTTCCCTCATATCATGTAAGATTATTTAACACATGTTTGTTTTCATATCTGCATGAGGGTCATGATTTCACCTTTTTCTGAAACTTGCCTTTTAACATTAGCATTGGTGTAGTGACGTGGGCAAAAGCCTGACTCAGATGCATTTGACAGAAAATGGAAAATAGAGTCAAGATGGTTGATTTGATATTCAGGAAAACCTTTTTTGGTAAAGCATATTGAAAAATCTCAACACTATTTAACAATTTTTGTATTTGAATCAATGTAGGAAAGTAAAAGTAAGGGAATCTAGAGGTTTAAATTAGAAACCAAACTTGATATAAGCAGGCAATCGAGGCTGGGCGCGGTGGCTCATGCCTATAATCACAGCATTTTGGGAAGCCAAGGTGGATGGATCACTTGAGGCTAGAAGTTTGGGACCAGCCTGGCCAACATGGCAAAATTCTGTCTCTACTAAAAATACAACAATTAGCAAGGTGTAGTGGTGCACGCCTGTAATCTCAGCTACTTAGGAGGCTGAGGCATGAGAATTGCTTGAACTAGGAGGTGAAGTTTGCAGTGAGCCAAGATTGCGCCACTGTACTCCAGCCTGGGAGACGGAATGAGACTCTTTCACAAAAAAATAAAATAAAATAAAATAAAAATAAGAAGGCAATCCAGAGGGGTGAGTGAGTACCAGATCTGCTGATGTGCAGGTTCATGAGCCCTTGGGACAGGAAACAAAGCTTGAAACTTCAGCTGCGGTAGGATCCCCAGCATAATGCTGGGAGTGGCAAAATCTCAAGAAAAAAACCTGGCTTTGCTTTAAAATGGAGATGTCTGAAACACTTGTCTATCCTGAACTTAGCTCTAGATAAGCCAGAATAAAAGATGAACGATTATCTGCTGAGAATTTCTAACCACAAGCTGGCACACACCTTGTTTGTTGAAAGCCTGAGGTACAGCAGGTGTGGCTAGAACAATGAACAGGAGGAACTGTGGTCTGATCTAAGTTAAGTCTCGGACGTCATCTCCTTGTTACTTTAACATAAAAGATTGTGAACAATAACTTCTCCATTTCAATGGATAATTCAGCCATGAGGCCATATCTTGATTCACATCATAAAAGCCCAAACATTATTCTTTTTTTGCCATGCACACTTGGAGGTACAAGGATGTTAAAATCTACTCATCGCACCCCTCCCTAACTCTTATCTTGCAAAAATTGGCCTGTTACATAATAATGATATTGCCTTGAGTTTTTATCAAGTAGTATGTTTACCCAGAAAAGATTATTTTAAAAAGGTGTTCTTATACATTTCTCCCCACTTCTTGCATTTTGTATTTTCTTTGGAACAAAAATGTTATTTGCCTTTGTTGGCATGAATAGTTACATTTTTAGGGAAAAATCTCAGAATTAGAAACCAAACTTGAACTAAAGTAAATATAATTCTTAGTAAAAAAAATCTGAGACATCAAATGTATTTATTTAAAATAAGCTTAGATTTTTTTTTTTTGAGCTCAAATCCTGTGATAATTCAATCTGAATTTATTTTGGTGCTCTCTCACTCACACCCATCTTATGAAAACCAAAGCATTTGGGGGTCTTTTACTCATCCCGGTTACCACTGAGATGCCTTGTCTAAACTTACAAGGGCTACTGAAATCTGAGAGCCCTGAGTTTTAGTGCCATCTGGAAGCCCTGTAAACTTTGCAAAGGCTGTGAGACTCAGCCTAGACTCCAGCCCCTGGGGCATACTATGCAGCCACACCCCTCCCACCTAACCCAAAACTGCTCACCTCCAGCAATGCTGTGGAGAAAGCTGTAGGTTCCCTGGGAGTCTGCAGATCTCTCTTTCCATCCTGGACTTCTGGGCCTTGCCACCCCTCTCACTTTCTCTTTTCCACAAGGCACATGTCTCTCTTTCTTCTATCTGGCATAATTCCCTCAAGGAGTGCCAGGGAGGCAGATTATCTGCTGTATAATTAGCCTTTCTGTCTTACAGCACAAACCTCCTGCGAGGTTAAAAGCATGAAGGAGCTGGCTGCCTTCTTGAAGTGGACATAAATGGAAAAAAGATCCATGAAGCACAAAGCACAAATTCTGTCTCAATTAGTTATGCTGATTCACAGCTTGCATCCTCCCCTCATAACCTGAAATACCTGGTAAAGGAGGGCACACTCCATCCAAACATACCATCCAATTTGTGAAGGGTCAAAGGAGTGTCCTAAACCTCTGTTGGTGGTCTAGCATTTACAATCTTACACTCATGGTGTTTTATTCCTGAACCCTAAACCTGAAAGAGAAAACTTAAACTGCAAATGTCATCACTCATTTACTTAAAAATTATCTCCTGTATATGCAGATGCTTCATATTCTCTTGCAATCTTTCCAAACCCTTTATACTAGCTGTATTCTTTAGCACATTAAAGAAATAAAATCATTTCTTGACTCCCATAGGCAGACAAGATGGAAATAGCAAGATACTGCTGGGAATAATAGGCAGAAGAATGTCACTTTTGATAAGAAACCGATAGAGCGATACCTATTTTTTTTATACATGTCTTCAATGGTTCATTTATAATCAAACTAAAGATGTTGGGATGAAAATGACAAGTGATTATTTCTCAACATACAAGAAAGTCTATCTCAGTGTATCCATGGGCCAGGAAGAGACTACATTTTAATAAACACGGTTTTTGGGGCACTAGCCTAGGCTGAGAATGGAAAAGGCTCTGCTAGTTCCATCTAGCCTTTAGTTTCCTGGGTATGTATAACTCTATATTATTTAGTTGAGAAATTAAAGGATTTTTCCCCTTCAGTGTATTCTTAACTAAAATCATATTATATTGACATTTTATTATTCTCATGTTTTCTTTCATTATAAGAAAATTGTGGGAGAAGATTTGCAAACCTCTTTTTATATTGGCTTTTATTATGTGGAACTGGGAATCTCTAAAACTCCTTTTACTTTGTACTTACTAAGTGGCTATGGAAAACATCTTTTGTGAATATAGGACAAAATCTCAGAGGAAAAATACTGAATAAAATATTTCAACTCTTGCTGGCATTACAGTATTTTCTCACAAAGGCACTGCATTTCAAGTAGTCTCTCTCTCTCTTTTTTTTTTTTTTTGGTAATACAGAGGAAAGTATAATTTATTTTAAAGTTGGCATCACTACAAAAAAGTCAGTCATTCTCAACTTCTGGTATTTGATTGGTTGTGAGGGGTTTTCTTTGTTTTATTTCTGAATGTGGAGAGGAAAAATCCAAAAAGGAAAGCCAGCCTTTTTGGATTTTGGAACTGATATACTCTAGCACCACCTACTGGGAAATGGTTTATTGTGCCCCTTAATTACAAGAAACCCAAACTCAAAATCTTCTGATGCTTTCTCTCAAAACTTTCATCCGTTTTCCTGCTTTTCCTTCTTCTCCTATTCTTTTATTTTCTGTTGACTTTCTATTCATTTTTGTTTCCCTTTCTTTGGTATAAATACTCTAGCTTTCTCAAAGTAAGTCTGATACACAACTATCTAAAACAACTGCTTTTATGGCACATGGAAAGATTGCAGATAAGAAAATAACAAGTCTATTTTAGGTCATCTGTCTTCACTGTAAATGCTGATTCATGGATATTGAATTAATAATCTGAGATGTTAAACATTAATATTTAATATTAATATTTAATATTCTCAAGATCAGAATCCACTGAATCGTAACTTTTCCACTAACTAGCTGTGAGGCTATATAATCTCCCTAAGTCTTTATTTGCTCACTTTGATAAAAAAGCAATGCTAATAATACATGTTGCATAGAAATGCTTTTAGAATTAAATGATGTGTGATGCATGCAAACTTCGTCAGAGCACGTTTCAGGCAGTAAATATGCAATAAATGTTTTCCATTATAATTACTCTTCTGAGAAAAAAGACCATGTTTTCATTCATCTCTGTAGCTTCAGAGTGCATAATAGAGGTTTTGTATGTTTCCTTCTATGTCTTAACATATACCAGAAAATGAATTGTGTGGAACACAGTAGAAAAAAAACCCCGTTATTTCCATGACTATAAGCTAGCTACTCTGCTAAGCACTTTGCAGGTGTCATTTCACTCACTGGAGAGAGGATACAGAATCTTGATTTTTTTTTTTTTTAATATTCTCAGTGTATTAGTTTGTTTTCACACTGCTTTAAAGATGCTACCTGAGACTGGGTAATTTTTAAAGAAAAGGGGTTTAATTGACCCACAGTTCTACATGGTTGGGGAGATCTCAGAAAACTTACAATCATGGCAGAAGGCAAAGAGAAGCAAGTACCTTCTTCACAAGGCAGTAGGAGAGCTTGGGGGAAAGTGTCACTTTTAAAGCATCAGGTCTTGTGAACTCCCCCACTATCACAAGAATAGTTTGGGGAAACTGTCCCCATGATATAAGCACCTCCAGCCAGGCTCCTCCGTCAACATGTGGGAATTACAACTCAAAATGAGATTTGAGTGAAGACACAAAGCAAAACCATATAACTCTGTTTTATAACAAATTTTCTAGGTAAAATTTGAGCGCTCCTCCCAAGGGCTTAGTTTTCTTCAAAAAGGAGTGAGTTATACTGTCTCTAAAATTTCTGTTAGCTCTATTATCTTTACTATAATTTTGCCTCCCTCCCTCCCTCCCTCCCTCCCTCCCTCCTTTCTTCCTTCCTTCCTTCCTTCCTTCCTTCCTTCCTTCCTTCCTTCCTTCCTTCTTCTTTCAGAATTTAAGTAATGCATTGTATTTATGGCTTACTCTGTGTTTTAGGGTCTTTCTATCAAATAAACTATCTTAATGGTTGTCAAATTGTTTTGTCAAATTACTAACTGCCTTCTTCCAAAGTGTATAGCATTTAAAAATGCCATGAGTAATATAAAATTTTAAATGTTGGTCTCTACTCTCAAATACAAGAGGAATGAACATGTCTACTTAATTTCTTTTCATTACTGATATATTTAGACTTATTTAAATCATTTTATTTTGTATTTGTCCTGCTTTGCTGATGTTTGTTCATTCTTCTCCTTCCCCTTTCTTTTAAATTAATGACTATTATAAAACTATTGGGTTTGGAAATAATATACTGGATTTTTTGTTCCCTGAACTTAAAATTAAATGAACATATGGAACTTAAAATGTATAAACTAACTAATACCTCTACTATCCTATAAAACAATACAAAAACCCCAAGCATGTTAACTCCAAACAGATGCGCCTTATGTCAATATTATCCATATTTTATTTCTGTTATAATTCTTCAACTTTATTATTATTATAACATATTCAATGCTTGAGGAAATTTATCCATAGATTTATTAATTACTTTGACTAACTAACATTACCTCTTGAATCTCAGTGTCTCCTTTGGTTTCAGATTTCTTTTTCCTATGGTTTATCCTTGAAAGGTATGTTAGTGAGATTTTTCTGGGTACTTGTTCAGTTTTCATTTTCCTGAGGTAACTTTAGTGTGTCTTTGTTCATGATAATTCTTTCATGTTCTTTTGGGCAATCTTCTTTTCTTTCAGAGAGATATTATCTTTGAAATTCTGTAGTTTGATTCTGATCTCTTTTTTATATAAGATACAATCTTTGAAATGCAATGTATCATATGTAATATAGTTGTATACACAGATGAATTTATATATTTATAATGTATATGTAGCTATATATCTTTCAACACATATATTTTAATATTGTTTTGGATTTGACTGACGTTTGGAACTAAAGATTTATATTTTTCATAAATTCTAGCAAGTTTTGAGCCATTATATCTTCGAATAACGTCCTTCATCTATTCTTTTTTCTTGGACATTTCTTGGACACTCCAATTTTATCCTACTATTTTATTCTATTCTCCATTTTTATTAACTTCACTTTTATAGATTGTATTCCTCTATCTCTCTGTAATCTGAATAGCTTCTTCAGCTCTACCTCCAAGTACTCTCACTCTACTTAGTGGTGTCTAACCTGCTGTTTAATCCATTTAATTTTTACTATTAGAGACAGTATTTTTCTATTTCTAGAAGTTCTATTTGGTTTTTCTTTACATCTTCCTTCACTCAACCTAAAGAAATGGGCAGCGCTCTTGTTAGCTAGTGACACCCCCTAAGAAGCGGGAATACTGTGCCAGGAAAATTAGCTCCTGTCATACTCTGCAAGAGGACACGGCCTTTCTCTCTCCCACTATCTTCATTAGAATATAAGATAATGATATTTTTCTCCATTTTCCAAATTTTATGAAATGTATTTATTTTTTTAAAAATACAAATTTAAAGTAATGTATGTGTTTTTAATAAAATTGTAATTTAGAGATGTAAGAAATATGTTTATTCATTAAGAAAGAAATTAAAAGAGATGAATACATTTATTTTCAAACTCTAAAAACATATTAAAAGTCAACATTTGACAATTCTTAGAATGTTATTAATAGAGTTCTAAGTTTATGTTTTAAAAATAATATAGCTAAAATGTATGCACTGGTATGCAGTCTCAATCAGGTACTTTCCTAAGATCTTTTCATATATTATTCTAAAACAACCCTGTAATGTAGGTTTCTTTACCCTTATTTTAGAGTGAAAATACTGCGTCACAAAAGGATCAAACTCATTTGAAGTTACATAATTAGGAAGTGATGGAACTGGTTTTCAGATGCACATTTTAGATTCAGTTTACATGTGTTTTAATTCCTGTAGCATTATAATTTTTAGGTTTTTGACAATTAGGAAAATTAAAATAAAATTTCAATCAATCATAGACATTCCTTTAACAGTCCTTTAACATCACGTCCATTCAGTTTGGATCATTCTGCTTTGTTTTGGGTGGTTTATTGTTTTTGTTTCATAGTTTGTTTTCTTTTGTTTGTTGATAGTCTCTGCTTGCCCATTGACTATTTTTCATGTAATAGGCAAAAGGAATAAAAATAACTGTAAAAATTTTTCCTGTTTTTCTTTGTCTCAACTTGTGCCAAATTTACAAGGGGCAGAAAGAGTCTTTGTGATGATGTTTTGGAGCTTAGGAGGGATAGGATATGCATGGGGTCATAAGGCGCAGATCTGCGA